TGTCTCTAAGATAAAAAGGGCTGGGGATGTGGCTTCCCTAAGACAAGGGCACTAGGTTCCATCCCTGGTACCACCAAAAAAACAAACAAACAAACAAACAAAAAAACCCTAAAGGAAAGCAATATTAACAGGACTGGCAGCTGCAGGGCAGGAACAGTAAAAGGTCAAAACAGAATGGCTAATCAGAACACGGAGAACAGTGAGAAAAGGAGCATTATGATTTCATAGTTCCATCTGATCATGTTCTGGGGAGGCCACTAACTTCTGAAGCTTTCACTCAACAGTTTTATTGAGTTTTTACTATATGCCACAGGTTTGGTTCTGGGGTGTGTGAGGGGTGGAGGGGCCACATGAGTGAAAAACAGAAGAGGCCCCGACTAGAAGCTTACATTTCAGTGCAGGAAACAGACAATAAACAGTTTCAATGGCTGGACAGCACCTGTAATCCCAGCACACTGGGAGGCCGGGACAGGAGGATCACAAGTTCAAGGCCAGCCTGTGCAACGGGGCAAGACCCTGTCTCAAAATAAAAGAACCAAAGGGCTGGGGACGTGGCTTAGCGGTAGAGCAGCCCTGGGTCCAACACCAGGATCCCTGCCCTGAACCCAAGGCGAGGAACGCTGTGGGGACAGGCAGCCTCCCTCGGAGGGGGGACCCCGTTAGAGGCCTGTGCAGATGTGCAGGCCGAAGACGGGGCCCCGAGCCTCCAAGAGCGAAGAGGGGCGGTTTGGAAGTGGGATGCAAAGGGAAGGAGCTGCCACCACCGAGGCGGGCGAGGACCCGAGGCGGGCGGGAGCGTGGCCTGGGCTGCGGGCCCGCGATGTCTATCGGAGCTCATGGACAGGCCGGCCGGGCGGTGCCCGCAGCGTCTGCACTCAGGGCTGAGGGCAGATGTCGTCAGCACAGGGAGGACAGGGAGGCTGCGGGCGCCCGGCGGGCGGCAGGGAGCCGCGGCGGCCGCCTGCCCTCCCGCGTGGATACCCGGCGGCCGAAACCGAAACTCAACTAATGGACGGTCCCGGCTCCTCCCAAGGCCCAGCAGAGACGGGGCTAGAGTGCAGATGCCAAGTGTACACCGCGCGACCATTTTACAGTGAACTGGTGAAGTCGTAAAACCCGCACAAGTCACTTTCACAATGACAGGGGAGGCCGCAGGCTTCTCGCTTGCGCACGGGCCCCCTCACCAGCGTCACTCTGAGGTAACAGCCTTTCTCTTCAAACGCTCCATGGAGCCCTGAGGGCGGGAGGCCTCCCCTCCCCACTACGGGTCGAAGATTGGGTCAAGTCACATTACGCGAACAAGGCTGGGTCACGCGCCACAAAAGGATTCGCCAGGCCGGGCGATCCGATCATTCTCCCTCCTTCTCCCATTGGCTACAGTCGTCGAGCTCGCCTCCCCCATTGGCTGCTAAGATGCCTCGGCCCGGCAGAAGAGGGACCCATCTGGTGCGCGTGCGCAAGCGTGGCGTGCCCTCGGCGCACTGAGCACGCGCGGCTTCGTGTTGGCTGGAGGAGGCGGGTGCAGCGGCACGCGCTGCGTCCCGGCGTCCTGCTCCCCTCCGCCGGTCCCGCCCTCCGTCGCGGCGGCGCGGTGCACCCTGGGATAGGGAGCGATCTCCGAGCGAGGCAGCAAGATGGACGCGGGATTCTTCCGCGTAAGTAGAAGCGCGGGGATCTGGGGTGAGGTGGAGGGGCTTCTCGGTAAGACCCGGGAGGAGGTCTAAACTCGGAACAGGGTAGCCCACGAAGGGAGGCCTCGGAGACACTGAGGATCCCCGGTGCCGGCGGACGCTCCCCACGGCGCTGCGGCGGAGACCGGTGCGCCCCTGCGCAGTCTCCTCCTCCGGGATCGTCCCCCCTACGCGGCGGCGGCGGTCGGAAAATGGCGTCGGGAATGGGCCGAAGCGGTACCTCGCCGCCCGCCTGGCGGGGCCTGCGGGCCAAGCCCGGCGCTTGCCGCCGGGTCCTGGGGCCTAGCGGAGCCCCGAGGAGGAAGTCCCTAGGGGGAGGCCGGCGGGAAGCCCGAGGTGACTGGCGGCGGGAGGGCCCGGAGCGTACGGTTTGGGGGTACGCTCCAGAAGAGCGTCTTGCAGGAGGAGGGCAACCGGGGGTGTTTAGCGGCTTCTGTTGAGGAAGCGGGCTCTGTCCTTCTCCTTCCCCCAGGTCCGAAGCCTTCTCGAAGGCGCCAGGTCAGAGTTCGCAGGCGCTCCCGCCCAATTTGATAGCCCTTTAGGGAGGGGAACGCAGATAATTTGTAGTCGGAACGTTTGAGTCGGAGGCTCTTAGAGGGCTGAGGGTGCAACGAAAAGTAGGCGCGTGTGGAGGCAGGTTACGGGGTGAATCCACTCCACTTCCCGCCCTCCGCCTTCCTCCCCCTCCCTCCCTCCCCCGTTTGTTGGACTCTTTGGGAGTCCGCTGGAGAAAAGGTGACTCTTAACCTAGGCTCTGCAGGCGCGGAAGGCACTTTGTCGTAGTTGGTTCTCCCGGCCCAGACTTCACCATTTTTCACGCTCCTGCTGGAGTCATATTGCATTCCTTTTGGAAATTAGCTCCAGATCGAGGTCTGGATGGGTGTGAAGGGACACTTAAAGGACTCAAGTTGACTACCAAGGATACCTTCAGGGTTTGCATATTCTTTTAATGCTTGGTAAACCGTATGTAAAGACCACTGGGTCCAAGCTAAAATCTCCATTTGTGTAATACAAGTTGATTCTTTCCCTAGAGCATATAATTTGCTTTTTGTGTGTGTGTGCTTAAAAGAAAAATTGGAGGAGAGGAAGGCCAGGGCATTAATAAAGAATTCTCTTGACTGCAAATCAGGCATTGGAATTCTTCTTAGCTTCAGATTTGCCAACTAGTTTTTCAACAAAAGTTCTCATCAAAAGTTGGGATATCGTTCTAAGCATTTAACTTAAGACACTTAGCCAGTTATTTGTTCTTGGTCATGCAATCAAGTAAGTTACTTAGGAATCATAGTTTCAAATGAGCTTGTCAAATTTTCACACTGCTGAACTGTCCGTTTTGTAATTTCCATCAACGAATTTGGTAGTGACTACTCATATCCTATGGTGCAAGAATAATATTTTCAAACAGGTAAAAACCTGTTCTTATGACTTTTGTGAAATATTTCCAGTGGAAAGAAGTTCCGATTTAAAAAAAAAAAAAAAAAAAACAAGGTGGTTGATACTGTAAAATTTAAGATGACATTTGCTTTTTCTATTGGTTAAAAACCTGGGAAAGAGTGCAATCTTTTATATACTATCTACAGTTCCTTAAATGTATGAGTTCATTGGATTTAAGCTCTGATTTAAAAGACTTTTAGAGCATTTAGTACACTGCTTACCAGGCTACTGCGTATTGCCGTTAAAGTGGAAATGGTATTTTACATTTACTGAGTGGCTGTCACCGGTACTTGAAATGTATAATTTCTATGATACACAACAAACCTGGGAAGTAGATTTCATTATCTTATTCCCCTCTGCCCCTTCTTCTAAATATTTACTTTTTAGATGGGTTTTATTTGGGGGTTGGGAACATAGTTTTAGTGACAGAGGGTCTATAATTCTTGTGCCCTGGTTTGATCCCTAGAATCACCAAAAAGTGTGTGTGTGTGTGTGTGTGTGTGAAAATTTTAATTTGACATGCAGTAACCATTATAAATTTATAGAGTACAATGTGAGATTTAAACACTTGTATACAGTTTGTCATGACAGATTAGGATTTTTATCATATCACTTTAGACATTTATTATTTCTTTGTTTTATCATCCCTATTTTAGCAAGTAAAGAAGTCTCATCCAAGGTTAGGTAACTTGCTTTGAGAA